GGATTCCGCTTGTCCACAATCGGGGTCAATAACAAACTCATCCATCAAATTACGTTTTGCATTGGATGTATCACTAACTTGCTCAACAGCACGAACAGTCTTAAGCGGAGAAATAACTTCATCTTCATCATCGTCCTATTTAAAATAAAGTCAAGTATAAACGTCAAAGAAAATAAACTTCACTTATAAGTAAATATAAGTAATATTCAAATATAAATATTTATACTAACCTTAGTAGCTTCCTCCCTTAGTAAAAGGGTCATAAAATCGGAATTCTATAAAGAAAAAACATCATAATTAATTTTCAAATCATGTATTGTATAACAAAGGAATATGATTAATTTGTTAAATCTAATTATAAAAACTTACATCATACTCAACAACCCAATGGTTGTACTTGGAAACCAAATTTGGATCAAGAATGACCCTTAGCACGGAAAAAGTAGATGAATATCCCTTTTTTTCATTATTATTTGCTTTGATTCGAACCTTGAAAAGAAAGGTTCTCCCAACCAAGTCCTCTAAATCATCGGGCAGCTCAAAGACAGCTTTATTCTACCAAAAAAATAATAATAATATAATATTTATAAGAATTATAAATAAGCATTATTCTCGAATTAACACATATTTCTATATATATATAAATTTTTTATTGTAATAATAGTTACCTTTAACACAGAAATTTCACGTTTTAGAAGCTCACAAGACTTTCCAATCATCCGTTCACACTCTCTATCCCAACATATGAAAACAGCACTTGCAGTAGAATCAGCAACACTAAATTGAATCTTGTACCTTTAAAAAAAATCAAACTGTAAATTATTAATAATTAATAATAATATGCGAAAAGAAAAACCAAACAATATTCCAACCGTGCAATGCCACGTGTATTAGTGCACTTGGTGCAATGCATATCACCATCTTCAATTTCCATCTTGCTATTGCATCTTTTGCAAGCAAGGTACCACCAATTATCAATAATTGACTCGATTGAGGCACAAACCCAAGTATCCATAGCCTTTGAATAAAAAAAAAAAAAATTTGTAAGAATTAAAAAATAGTGATAATGATATTACAAAACAGCGGTATTATACATACAAAATCGGAATATATATATTAAAGTACCTCTTCAGTCTCATGTATAGAATCAACAGAGCTAACAATCACATCACCATCCTCAAGTCCTTGAACTTCACTCTTGACAACTAAAGAGCTATTCGATCTAAGCTTCACACTTTTGATTTTGCTAGAAGACATCCTATAAACAAAGATATTTATTTAAAATATAATCTTTAAATATATATATAACATTGCTAACAAATAAATCAAAAAAATATTTACTTTTCCAAAAAGCCTTGAACTTCGGGAATATCGTGAACACCAATCAAGTGTGTGACATCCTTTGAAGTTGTTATTTGAACTTCACCTATTGAAAAAAAAAAATCGTTAAGCAATACTAATTCAAAATTATAATAAGCATAATGTTTATGTTTATTTTGAATAATTAAAAAATAAAATAAAATTACCATTCCATGGCTTTGCACGACACATTTGTATGACCAATACAAACGGTTGATTGGCTTCCACATAATAATTCTCGAAAGCAATAAATTGATCCACATAGGCTCCCCAAACGGTACACGTCATAGTAAGACCACTAAAAATAATAAAATAATTTAAATAATAAGATATAAAAATCGAGTGAAATACTTGAAAAAAATAATCGAAATAACTAACTCCAAATTCATAAGATTGAAATTAATCATCTGCGTCGGGCCACTTTTCACGTTTTTTATTTGAATTGGATGGGTCTCCACCACCAAGCCAATAACATCTACACAAGAAAAATTTTATTAAAATCTAATAATATACATCCAATTATATAAAAAATTTTATTTTCACGGCAAAATTTAAAATATGACTTACCAAACAAAATTGCTTCGTCCACGTTGTCTATATCACGCAAAGTGAGAAATTCTCTAAAAGAGAATCGATAGAGTGGAAATGGGGTCTTGAGTTGAAAGAACTCGGTTCCCCTATGAAGAATGATGCGAAATTTGCCAATAGTTGATTTGTAAATGCCTATGTTACTCTCCACTTGATAATGATTGAAGGCATAAGCTTCTCCATCCTTAAGCTCGTCAATGAAATGAGATATGTGAACGGGCCTTATAAGAGCGGTTATCCTATCACCCTACCAAAAAAAAAAAGAATTACGATAATATATACAAAAAATAAAAACACGTAAATTAATAATAATAAATTAATAATAATAGACCTTTGTGACAAACCTCATTATCATGCAAAATTAACTCAAGAACGTTTTTGGTAGAAAAATTCTCGGAAGTTCTTTGAAACATGCGAATAATACGAAGCTTGAGGAATGGCCTATTAGACCTCTTGATATCCTTGATCAAACCCCATGTTTGAGTCATTTTCTTAAGAATCACTAATCTCACTAATAAAAAATAAAAGAGTAGGGTTGTGCTTCGTGTTGATTGAATGAATAATAACTTGCAATGCATTGATCTTTTATAGTCAAAGTTACGTGGTTAAACTTGCTAAGTAGATAAATGCAAAATGTTTAATCCGATTTACTTTAATTTCCTAATGATAATCAAACTTATTTTAGTACAATTTTTTTAATAGATGCGTGTGTGCATTATTTTCGTGTCAAATGGATATGGAATGATTTTGTTTAGATATATACAAATCATTGACAAAAAACGTGACCAAAAATATTTTAGTGTGAGATGTAAACTTGTTTGAGATTTATTAATTTCCTAATGACAATCAGACGAAATCTTTTAAATATTTTACTTACCAAACTTGTTTGATATTTATTATTAATTTCCTAATGATCAGACGTAATATTTCTATACAAATATTTTAGTTATTTTAGTTAGGGAATCGGATTGATTAGACGAATTATATGCAAATAATCCGATTGTTTTAGTGCAAATAAAGCTTATTCCGTGATTATAGTGTGAATAATTTTGGACAAATCAATATTAAGATATCTTCAAATAATTGACAAAAACACCTAAGCAAATCAGTAAGTGTTTTTAAAATTTCGGATTCTACAATTAGATATGTCCAAGTAAATTTATTAACATATTTATATATCAACATTGATTAGGATGTTTGTTCCCATCCTTATCTACTAACATATTTATCTCAAGAATCTATTGGATATCTACATTTATTAATCGAAAAAAATTGGACTTTTATAACATGATGAATATTTAAACGAAATTATTAAAAATCAAATTGTTTTCATTGGTTGAAATAAAATAAATATTGAGTAGAATTTTATAAGTCATAGTAAATCTATTAAAATATTTATCTATTAACATTCTTTAAAATGTTTGTTATATAAAAAATATTAACATATTTGTCTCAATATTTAACGCTTTTGATAGAAATCATAATTATTAATTATTAATAAAAAAATGTGGTTATTTTAAACCATATACATATTTAAACAAAATTTTGTATGTCAATATATAACTTTTTTATTACATAGGTAATCTATTAATATATACAAATTGTGGTAATTTTAAAATTTATGAATATATAAACGAAATTTGTATAAATCGAAGTTTTCTTTTAATAATAGATTAGTTTATTGTTAGTTTTACCAAAAAATTTAGTTGATATATACAGAGATCAATTTAAAATACAATAATTATGTTTAAACATTTAAACATGAAATCGAATCGAGTTGAATAATAAACGAAAACATAATAATACTCATAAAAGTCTCACAACGTAAACAAATATTATCAAATTCTAGCAATGCCATGGAATAAAATTATTAAACCCTAAACAACTCGAATTAAAATTCTAATATAAAATGCCATGGAATAAAATTATTAAACCCTAAACAACTCGAATTAAAATTCTAATATAAAAATTTAATAATTCCTCAGAAATTCATGCAATCATCTTCATAATCTCGGAACCCTAATTAGTGATGAGGGAAATTTCCATTGTACGTGAATACATCTGTCTTTGGATGAAGCACAAGCATCCATCTGTGGCCGGTTGTATTGATCCTCTGATTATTCAATTCAATAGTGTAGTTGTGGATTGTATAAACTTTGCCTTCTTTGAACACATCTCGATATAATTCCATGCTTCGACAACGAATGATGCAATTTATGCGTGAACCCTACAATAAAAAGTTATACAATTAACGAAAATAATTAATATAATTATGTATGTTTCATAAAACAATTCGTATGCTTACATTTTGATCATGAAACAGGATTTGAATATTGTTCTTGGACTGCAGCTCGAAATTTGATTCAAGAATACTGACTACTCTTAATCTCAAATACGGTTGGGTGGCCCTATTGATGTCCGCGAGTGTACCACAGAACCGTGCCATTTTTTTTTTTCTGTGTATCGATGTATTGATCTTGTTTTCTCTCTGTATTTCGATGTATCTGTATTTCGATGTATCTGTATGTAATTTTTTTTTTTTGCACCTTTGGAGAAGGGGATAAACCAATGTATTTATATAGGTAGGATTTATTTATTTTTTTTAGAATAGGATATCTACAAATAAGTGCCATAAAAATCTGACCAAATCTTATCATCATCCCATAATAACTGCACACCATATAAAGGTGCTGAAATCACTCCTATTAAAATTGGCATTGGCATCCAAAATTTCGGAATTCAAAAATTTCGCAAAGCCATGGGCGGGAATTTGCTCAATTTTGCCAAAAAATTGCACTCATTACATTGAAAATTTAGGCGGGAAATGAAATCTTTTTTTTCCTGATTTTCCACATGATTTTTTTAAAAAACTATCATTCCCTCTTTATATATTAATAGATGTCATTATACACTATAAAATTAATGATAAAAATATATATAATTATATATTATATAAATAAAATAAATAAAAAATTATATATTAAAAAACATTAAACTGATAGCTTTACTTTCAAAACCATTCATAAATATTGCTAGGTAAACCCATTAACTATCGACGACACTGTGTCAACTGTCAAATACTGAGACCAAAATATTCTCACCTTCACCTCAAAATTCCAGCCATGTCCTCTGCTCACTCCCACCCTCCACTCCCCATTAAGACGGCGGCCTCCGCCCTTAAATTCCCTCTCAGCTCCAACCGACTTCCCATCGGCGTCGTCTCGCCTCGCCGCTGGCCACACTCTTCCGGCATCTTCAATATCGCAAATTTTTCCGGTACCAGTAAACGGGCCCTTGCTTTTCCAACTTCAGCCCGTTATATAATAGCTCGTGCGGGCGGATATGAGCCCGCTCGAGCTGCCGTATCGGGTCGGGTTTCCGGATCGGACGCGCACCCATTCGACGTGGTTATTGTGGGGGCGGGTATTATTGGGTTGACCATAGCCCGCCAATTCCTCCTCGGATCGAATCTGTCGGTCGCCATCGTCGACGCCGCCGTTCCGTGCGCTGGCGCCACTGGTGCAGGTACCAAATCTAGTTTTTTTTTTTTATTTTGATGTAAAACTAAGTCGGATATCTGATTCATTTTCTTCTGATTCCTGAATTTAGTTTTAACTAGAGTAATTTTCACGGGAAGTACTTGCAAACTTTGAGATAACGTAGTTTCAGCTTCTAGGAAAAAAAGAAGGATGAAGTAACTATGTTTGTTTTTTCTCTCGATAGAAGCTAACTTACTGAATAAAGAACAAGGAAATTGGAAACAATATCTTAATATCAACCTGAATTTGGCTTTTGATCTTTATTTCTTTTTTAACTTCAGGACAGGGATACATATGGAGGGTTCATAAAGTTCCGGGGGCTGAAAAATGGGAGCTGGCGATAAGAAGCCATAACTTGTGGGAGGCTCTGTCTGAAAGCGTTCAGAATCAAGGGATGGATCCTTTGGAGACACTTGGGTGGAAGAAGACGGGTTCGAATGGCTTCTCTCATCTCAATGTTTCAATATTTTCAGTTTTTGTTTCTCTCTCCTAGTTAGCTATTATCTGCTTGAGATGTTTCAAGAAAAAAGTCTTGTGTTTGTCATCCATAAGATAAAAAAATTGAGCTCTGTCGAAAGAAGTGTTGCGTTTGTCATCCATAAGATAGAAATTGAGCTCTGTGGTTAATTGTAGTCTATATGCATGCTGAAGAATAACGATATTGTATAAGACATAGCTATATTATGAATGTGATACTTGGACAGAAAAAAAAGGGGGTGTTGAGGTCAAACATCAGTTGTGATTGTGAGGAAAGTTAATTTCTGCAGGACAATAAGATGCGACTTTGTGAGCCGTAGGTTCTCTTTTAGAGATCCCCAAGTTTTTGACTGAAGCATACTTGAGAAAATCTTTTGCTTATGCTTTCCTGTAATCATATCAAGTTTTTGTATCTTCTTGACATTCGTATCTTCCAAAGTCATGGGCTCACAATCCCCCGTAGTCATATATAGCTGAAAAATCCATCAGAATATTTATAGTTGTAAAACTGCCAGTTTTAGTGCTGGGTCTCGTTTGTTCCTCTCTATAATTAGGTGTTTCATTCAGTGAGAGGATTAACTAATGAGTTTTGGTTCTGTTACTTAACAGGAAGTATGCTTGTTGGTAGAACTGCTGAGGACTGTTCTGTGTTGAGGGCAAAGGTGGAGAAGCTCGTGGAGGCTGGGTTGGGTGCACAGTTCTTGTCACGGGATGAGCTGCGGGTGGAAGAACCTGCTCTCGAGCTCGGGGAGGAAGGTGGTGCTGCTTTCATGCCCGACGACTGCCAATTGGATGCTCGTCGTGCCGTGACGTTTCTCGAGAAGGTTCTGAATAATTTATATATTCCTAATTTGCAATTTTATCTTTTGGTTTTCCCTTACAATTTTGGTCATGTGGGATGAAATGGAAGTAATTCTGTGGTTTGAGATGGACATAGACAAAAAAGAAAGGGTGAAATGTGGATTAAAATTTTGTTTTTAAAGTTAGAATATTCTCTATTCAAGGGCTTGTTTTCTTTGTTTCTTGGTTACTATTTGCTTTTTACTTAGGCTGCTTGTATACTGTATGATGTTTTGCTATTAGCAGAAAGAATGTGCAATATCCTTTGAATGATAAGAAAACTAGGATTTTAGGTTATTAATTTAATGGAAAATATTATCTTCCTTTTTGAGAGTATCACTTCATGACAGTAATAGAATGAGATGTCGATCTTTAATTAATTCATTTACTTTAATTAATTATTTCACAATATAATTATAACGCACCATTAATATATAGGCAGATGGTGTAATAAGACATAACCATTCATTTAAAAAATTAAAAAGAAAAGAGTAATGTGTGTATAACATTTGCATGAAATCTACTCCTTTCAATAGGCATATATTCATCCTCATTTTTCCCGTATTTCTAAAAGAACAAATCACATTAATTATTCTATTCTTTTACAATCCACAATGACCTAAAAAAAAAAAAAAAGAAGAATCCAATCTCATTATTTTTCTTATTTTTAGTAATTTGTTTTGCTCCACATAATTAATGGGGATACTGTCGATAGACTAACAGGTCTTTTGCAGCAGAAGGGAGATATGCTGAGTTCTATCATGAGCCAGTTACGAGCTTTATAAGGTTTGGCTAGTCATAGTTGTGCACTAGCATAATCTTCAAAATCAATTGAGTTATATGATTAAGATTAGTATTGTTTTTGGATGGTTTTAAGATAAATAGTCATTGTCAATTTGTCACGATGCTTCCAATAAGATTACATATATTCCTTTAAAAAATTACTTTTTGCTCAGATCTGAGAGCACTGGAGGAATTGAGGCAGTTCAAACTTCCAAGAGGACATTAAGTGTTAAGAAAGCTGTTGTCATTGCAGCAGGCTGCTGGAGTGGCTCAGTGGTGGACAACTTAATAAGTGATGCTGGTATTAAGATAGATGTCCCAGTTAAGCCTAGAAAGGTGTCATCTTTAAGCACCCAATCTTACTATTTTTCAAAATTTCTATTCACTGCATCTCAGCCATGTATGCTTGATTGGGTTTCTTGAGTTTTTAACGGTACTGAAGGTGACTTGCTTGCTTTAATGATCTGTAGTTTCTATTCTACCCATATATTTTCAAGAGTTAAGAAAACGTACTGTGGAGTTTGGATAATATTTCCTGTTTCTACCTTTGGGTGATATTTCTCTTTCAAGCTTTGACCATAAATTGTCAAGAGAATCAATCAGTGTAAGTAATTTTACTAACCTGTATTACCAGGGTCATCTGCTCATTCTAGAGAACTTCAAGCCTTTTAACCTTAATCACGGGCTTATGGAAGCCGCTTACGTCAGCCATGAATCTGCAAAACTGAGCTCCACCAGTACAGATTCAAAAACTGGATTTGATGCAACTATCGCGTCTGTTTCAATGACGGCTACCACGGACTTGTCAGGAAAGCTCGTGTTCGGTAAACTTCTGAGTGCTTGTTAAAATTTCTTTTGAATGGGGGCTGATTTAATATGTAGGATTCATTGTTATCTAGAGCTAAGCCGTAAAAGAGGTACTTGCAAGCCGCAATTGTCAATGCGCCCTACCATAGCTAGTGATGTTATTTTTATTCGATAATTTATTTCAATTTCTTACGTGTTCTTTCAAATGGTGTCCGTTGATTGCAGGGAGCAGCCGTGAGATTGTCGGTTTCGACACCAGAATAGACGAGTCTATCTTAGAACGTATCTGGACACGGGCAAGCGAATTCTTTCCCGTGCTAAAAAAATCGTCCCTAAGAGATCTGACTGACAGAAGGGAAGTGAGAGTAGGCCTGAGACCCTACAGTAAGTTTGTTTGACATGGGAACACAATCGACTGTAATTACATATAATATCCGACTAAAATGACATTTTTTTGTATATTGACCGTAATTTGTTACAGTGCCTGGTGGAAAACCATTGATTGCACCTGTGCCTGGACTATCAAAGGCATTCCTTGCTGCTGGACATGAAGGCGAAGGCCTATCGCTGGTAACCTTCCCATATTCTCCAGTTTTCTATTTGTTCTTTGCCAATTATTTCGCCTTTATAAAACTTTTAGTGATTTTGTAATGAAAGAGAGGTTGTTATGATCACAGGCTATGGGGACGGCCGAGATGATTTACGACATGGTGCTCGAGAATCCACCGAAAGTGAACCCTGCACCGTACGCTGTATAGTTTTTGGCTCCCTCTCTCACTGTCACTGGATAAAAGCTTGGTGTGAGTTCAAATATCCTTTTTTGTTACACCTTGAAATCCAGAAATTGTTGTGTGTAGGAAAATAAAAGCTGTGGTGTGAGTTCAAAATATCCTTTTTTATTACACCTTGAAATCCAGAAATTGTTGTGTCCTTGTGTGTAAGAAAACGGTCCCGGTTGCCATAATTATATAGGCTGCATGTTTTCAATTTTCATGTTCTGTTGCTGTTGATGACCACTTTCTTTCTTTCTTTCTTTCTTTTTTTTTTTTCTGTTAGTTTTTTGTAATACCATGGAGAATGTGGTATAAATAAAAGTTTTTTTTTCGTGCACGTTTCATAATTTCTCACAACACAACACATCAACATTAAATAATATTAATCAATCATATCACGAGGGACGGATCCAAGTTGGGCCTGGAATTGGCTTCAGTCCGGGCCTCTTATTTCCCATTTTAACAATTATAAGTTTTAAAAAAAAATTATTGTGTTTCTAACACAGTCCAATAAATCAATCCACTAACCTACTTAAATAACTCGCGTATATTGTTGATTCAAAGACTATAAACACTATTTCGATAAAATATTATATATTGTTGATCTTCCGTTCCCAAGAATTTGATTTAATTTATTCTTTAATTGTAAATTATATTTTAAAACCCTAATAGATATTTGTTTCATTTGCTTGACTGTCTTTATTTATCTTTTCAATGTAGTTGAGCTATTTTGGATTTTAATTGTAATTCTTAGGATCATTTGGCTGCAATTATTGTTTTGTTGATTGTGTATGAAGTATTAATTATGTGTTGTTTTTTATCCTCTAGTGTGGTTATTATGTATCATAATTCAATTTCAAGTCATGACGTGTAAGTATTTTATTTTGCTAGTAACTATGTCGTATGTTAAATTAATTATTGGTGTTATGGAATTTTTAGAAATTCACATGGACCACCAACTTTCAACCAAGAATTAAAACAATCCTATTGATATTATCGTTCTGTAGAAAACACGATCGTCAAACTAGTGAAAACACATCAAATATCGAGCATAGCTTCAGCTAATATTTGAAGAAAAAATATTATGTGATTTTTATGAAATTGAGTTTTTATAATTCTAGTCCAGTCTACCTTTAATTTCTGGTTTCGTCCCTGCATATCACATCAATATTTAGTTTAATATGTATACTTCTATTGAAAAATTTCATGATACCTCGTGGAGTGGTGTCCCATGGGTTTTCTACCACACATTACACATGCCAATATGGGTGTGTGTATGTGTAAATGTATGGCCAAAAACCTCATGTGTAGCATATAAAAAACTTTTTTTATCCTACTTTCATATCACATTAATTTTAATTATTATATTTTAAATATTATTTAAATACAAGCTCAAAATTTCAGTTAAATCAAACTATCAACTTTTTTATAAATTAACTCATATTATCCAATAAATTCAAGATCACTGCCAGGTGTTGTATTTAATCTCCCTTTGAGCGTTTCCTTTCCTTTTTTTCATTTTCTCCCCCAATTCCATGAACAGTACATCGAGAGAGGATTTCATCTCCGCAACTTGTCTTCTTCATCCCTCCTCGCCCTAATCTTCTCATTTCCCCCTCGATTTAGTAAATCTCTAGCCATTTTGCCTCTTCGTCGTTGTCGCTGCTATTGCCGAGGCGATGGCTTCCCCTGAGCCATCTGAGAAGGATGGTCCCCTCTGGCGGGCTGTAGTTACTGGAGTTGTGTTGGGAGAGGCGACGGCCGTCGGGCCTTCGAGTTGTTTTCCTGTTGTTGTTCCTATATTTTAAGACTTTTAAATTCACAACTTTGACGAAACGACAGAGATTTTATATAACTCAAAGCGAACCAAGTTCAAATAATACAATCCAAAACCGAAAAAGCAAACTGAAAGGACACGCCCAAAGCGGCCTAGAACCTCAACCAACTAAAAGGAAACTAAAAAAAGAAAGTAACAACAAGGATAAAAAAAACTACAAACACCATCCACTGCCTCAAGGCCTAGAGGTGAATAGGTAAAACGCAAAAACCGAATCAAACAACCAACCAACAACAGGGGACAACTTCACAGCCAACAAACTAAAACCAGATGCATTAGGACTTCAAATGAATGAAATCCAATCAGTCCTGCTGAGCGGCCTTCAATGTGACTTTAATGGGCATGATGGTGTCTTGAAAGATGCTTAGGTTGCGCGATTTCCAAAGCCACCACAGGATATAGGTAGTAAGTTGAATTCGGGCCTGTGATGTCTCTGAGTTGTCAATGGAGCAAATCTCCATCCACCAGCCTCTGAAGGAAGAGTCATGGTTTGGCAATTGAGTCCAGGAGATACGGGCCATCTTCCACAGTTGAACAGCTCTCTGACAGTGAAATAAGACATGGTTTATAGTCTCTGGAGCCAATCCACAAGTTCTACAGACCACATCTATGTTTAGGCCTCTCTCCCTCAATTTAGTTTTAACTGGTAGGGCCTCTGCTATACACTTCCAGATGAATATTTTAACTTTGTTGACCACCTTCATTTTCCAAAGCCTCTGTCTGATTCTGGATATTGGTGTGCAGCTGCTACTGGCTATGTCAAGAGAGAGAAATTTTTGCTGAGACAGGAAGGAATAAGTACTGGATACTGTGTACTTCCCATTCTTGTTGAATTTCCAGTACAATCTGTCAGGTGTCCCTGGTTTGAGAGTTTTGATATCAAGAATTGCCTTGCTGTCCTGAGCATTAAAAACTTGGTTGATGAGCCAAGAGTTCCATTCAAGTCCTGCATCAGAAATCAGATCCTTAACCCAAATTAGATGTCCTCTAGCAAGTTCAATCAGAGTTGGTTTTGGTTGCATCAGAGTGGGAACCCAGTTAACATCATCTATCCTTGTGTTTTCACCATTTCTAATTTCAACAGCATAACCTTTGGCAAAAGTAGGCAAAACTTCCAACCAGTTGGACCACAGCCATGAGCAGCTTTGTGTTTTAACAGCATCAAAGATTGAGCAGGTTGGGAAATACCTGTCTTTTAGTATTCTGCTCACCAGCAGATTTGGTTGGGAAGTGATTCTCCATAACTGCTTGCAGATGAGGGCTGAATTAAAGAGTTGAAGGTCCAGAAATCCCAAGCCACCATTGTCTTTTGGGAGAGTCAACAGTTTCCAAGCCTTCCAAGGAATGCCTTTACATTGTTCTTCCCCTGTGCTCCACCAGAATTGTGAGCAAAGTGAAGCAATTTTAGCACAGATGGCTTTGGGAATCCTGAAGCAGGACATAGTGAACATGGGAAGAGCTTGAAGCACAGCCTTAATAAGAACAGCTTTTCCAGCCTGACTCAAGAGCTTTGATTTCCAGTTTTCCAGTTTGTGAGTGACAGAATCAATAATGTACTGGAAAGTGACTACTTTGGACCTGCCAATCCCCAAAGGCAAGCCTAAGTACTTGGTTGACCTGTGCTTAGTAATACCTGCCAATGAATCACAAATTCTATTCTGCAGAGCCTCCGGGGTTTTCCTACTAAAGAAGATGGAAGACTTGCTCATATTGACAGCTTGACCAGTAAAGAGTTTGTATCTCTCAAGGATGGAGATTAAAGAATTTGCCTGAGCAACTGTAGCTTTGCAGAAAAATAAAGAGTCATCTGCAAAAAGAAGGTGTGAAATAGCAGGGCCATTTGTAGAGAGCTTTAAGCCAGTGAGATGACCAAGTTGAGTAGCATGGTTGACTAGAGCAGATAACATTTCAGCAACAATAAGGAACAGATAGGGAAAGAGAGGATCCCCTTGTCTTATTCCCCGAGATGGGAGCACATAACCATTAACTGCACCATTAATCTTGAAAGAAAATGAGGTTGTGGAGATGCAGATCATGATCAAGTTAACAAAGTCTGAGTGAAAACCCATCTGAAGCATGATTTTTTTAACACATAACCACTCAACTCTGTCAAAAGCCTTCATCAGATCAAGTTTTAGAGCCATAAAACAATGTTTGTGAGAATTATGCCTATTCAGATAGTGGAAAGCTTCTTGCCCAATGATGACATTGTCCATAAGTTGTCTCCCTTTAATAAAAGCAGACTGAGAGTCACTGATACACACATCCAGGCATTTTTGCAGTCTAAGAGCAAGGATTTTGGACAAGATCTTATAGACAACAGTACATAAACTGATAGGTCTGAATTGATGCACATATTTAGGATTGAGGCATTTGGGGATGAGAGTAATTATAGTGTGGTTCCAATATTTCAAAATGAGACCTTTATCATTTAAAAAGCTGGAAATAGCAGATACCACATCAAGTTTGATAATATCCCAAAAGGATTGATAAAAGGTATCAGTCATACCATCCTCTCCTGGGGATTTGTCAGCTGGTAGACTGAAAAGAGCTACTCTGATTTCCTCTTCTGTGACTTGTTGAAGCAATAGCTGGTTCATGTCTGCTGTGATAGAAGGTGTGATAAGAGGAAGAATAGCATCTCCATCCCAGGACCCTTCAGAGGTGAAAAGATCAGAGTAGAACTGAGTGACATGATTCTGAATGGACAGTTGGGTGTCATAAATGGAATTCTGGTTTGTAAGCAGCCTTGTTATTGCATTTTGTTTTTTTCTCACCATGGTGTAAGCATGAAAGAATTTTGAATTGTTGTCCCCTTCTTGGAGTCATCTCACTTTAGCTTTTTGCTGCCAGAATAACTCTTCTGATGTATGAGCTGCTTGGAGATCTTTCCTTGTTGTCAGCCACTCCTCCCAATTGGCAGAAATACCTTCCTGCTGCAAAGAGTTCAGTTTCTTGGATAGGTTTTCTATTGTTGATTGGCTTTGAGATTTGAAACCAGCACTCCAAATGAGAAGAGCCTGTCTAGTAGCCTTGACCTTCTCCTTTAAAATGTAGAAAGGAGTTCCAGAAAATTTTGTTCCCCAGGATTTCTGTACCACATCAGCAATTCCTTCCCTAGAGAGCCATCTTTTGTCAAACTGAAATCTTCCTTTCTTTCTTTCTTTTTTGTTCCCTGACTTGAGAATCAACATGGAGTGATCTGATGCTGATTTGGCAATGTTAGAGATAGAGGCTTGAGGGTGTGATTCCAACCAATTAGGTGATGCAAAGCCTCTGTCTAATTTAGCTTCAATTAAACCTTC